CGAACTTGATTGTTAGCATGTTGTTTAGATTTAAGAGTAATGACGGCGTCACTGTTTACCTTTTCAAAGAAAAGCTGTCTGCTTCCATCCGTTATTAACCTACTCATTTTTCATTTTGAAACAAGACCGTTATGGCGTTTCGCTCAGTGCAAATTCTATAGGTAAACCATTAAGGGGAAGAGAAGGGGAAGGGACGCAATGAAATATGACGTTAATAACAGCAGGTCAAGTTTCAAGTTTCGCCAATAGCGGCGGATTCCCCGTGCTATGTAATTCCCCAACAAATGACAGTGCCAGTGACACTGTACCTGAAGAAGATTGTACAAGGGGGCGGGAACACATGGTTTGATGTGATACTATAATGGACGTCTATTTCACATTCCATTCTCTTGCGTATCACAGTAATACTAATAATCTCCCTTGTATTAATATAGACCCACCTGCTTCGAGTTCTCCATTCCCCTGGTACATATGTAACACCAGAGGCAAAAATCTATACAAAGGATATTGTATATTGGTAAAGAAGCTTAATAGGGATGGCATCCTCAATCGAAAATATGAGCGTAGATCAGTGGAGGGGGAAAAGAGATAAACGTCAACGATCATTTCGCACTTCCACGTGTTTTGGTAGCGTTTGTAGTATTATTCACCAAAATACTATCGGGATGATCTGATATCATGTTGGATAGACATGGTGCCCTTGTAAAACATTGATGAGACACGATGCCTTTGGAGATAACCCCGGATCCACGCCTGAATCGATTATACGTCAGTAACTCTGCATTTCTTACGTTAGGTTAGAGTGATCGCTGGAGCATTCTCATCTCTGATCTCTTCTTTGATGTGGGTTGATGTATGTGTTCAATCTGGCTGATCTTCCTCTAGTTCCTTATATCTACATTGCCAATCACATATTCTGCCTCGATCGAACACGTTTTAGTGTTGTTTTAGGAACATATGATCTCATTGATCTTGTTATCATTATGCGGATTTTTGCGATGATTCTTAAAAGCTTATATCTTAAATCGTCACTGCAGTGCTTCCCAGATTTTCTTGTTGGTTGAAGGGACTCTAAACTTTTACAACCGTAAATAGTACATTTTACTTGCGAGTTGGGTGGGACGAGCATGATTAATATTGCCACATTAGGACTATCTTTATCTGACAAATAATACCAAGAATATTTCTTACCATCACATTCCTCTTTCGTAGCTCGGGGTATTTTAATTAAACAATTTGCAAGTGAGAGCATGAAAAGTACAAGCAATCTTTTTAAAAACTTCTTGGAATTTTAAGGTTTTCAATCATTTGGTTAACATTAATATTTCACTGAAAAACGAGTATGCTTCAAGTAGCAAGTCTTGTAACTTCCCGAAAATATGTACAGGGCGTTAACCTCTTGCATTTTGTTGGTAAATATCTTTTATATTACTCTCGAAGTATGATAGATATTGAAAATAGTGTATGCTCTCTGTATCTGTCTATGTCTGACATTTATTGAAACGATGTATTTTAAACAATAGGGAGTTTAAGCGATGCATTTGTATGGGCGATTGGTCATACATATAGGTTGGCGTTTCGATTTTATATGCAAGCTTAAACTCCCTATTGTTAAGATAACCGTAACAGCCAGTAATCCTCAAGTAAGAATGACATGGACCATATTATGGGGCTGGTAATTGGCCCCAAAACAAAAAAGCAGAATTAAGATATCTTAGAATAGTCCTAGTAAGTCTGTTGAAAATTGGAACTCTGATATGAAACTCTAAATCTGATGTAGTATGACTAGCACTGGCCCAGGGGCCCACCCTTGAGGATGGGCCCAGAATTTTTTGGCCCGACCAAACATTTCTAGGACCCCAATTAGAAGGTATTTTTGGGCATTTCTTGGCCTTATGATTAATATTATGCAAAATTATTAAGAAAATGGGCCTTAAATTTGAAAAATGTCAAATTTTGGTTTTAGGGGCTCACTTTTTTCCGAGATATAATTTTTTCCTGTCACCTTAACTGGAGTCCCATGTTACATTCAGATACACACAATCTGCATGGATATACCCAAATTAATTGCTGAGGGTTAATAAATTCTTTCGATGTATAAAAAGGAGAAAATTCAGTTACTCACAAGTTTTGTATTTTTAAAAAGTAGGTCACCGAATTTTCTAAATTCTAGAAAATTTTAGACATCAATTAATAATCCAGGTTTATATTCTCTACATACAGAACTTGATATCATATACAGATATACGGAATTATATATACCCGAAAATAACATGGGGCTCGATGCTATTAACATTTCTAAACATTCGGAACCTTAACATAAACTCACTTAATTTACATATTCTTATTAAAATCCTTCAATGTGAAAATTAATGTGCCCCAAATTTCTCATTTAGGAAAGAATCTGCATTCCTGGTATAATCAATTGCAACATGAATATCAATCGAAACAAATTGAAAGGGTAGCTGGCCTTAGAGTAGCAGTACTTAGAATGAATTAGGAGTGGAGTAGTATCACTGATAAAATACGCATTTTCCAGATTCATTTCTAAAAGCCTCGAGGTCGACTGAAATAGTTTTTCAACGCAAACTCATGTGATGCAAGTCATTGGTACGGTAGAAATACTGAATAGGGGACTCGTCTACATTTGAAATATTCAAGAGGCTGATAGTAAATTCGATTAGCTTAGATAAGTTCTATTGATGAAATGGACTTACAAGATTAAAAGGATTTAGTGGCTTTAGGCTTTTATAGACCAATTACCAGGCGAAACATGCCATGCTCCAAAGAGCAGGTTCCGACCGCGCATTGGTTATCGCAGCTCAATGGTTCTTGCTATTTTCTTTAACTAAAGGTAGAATCAGACATATAGAACAGTCGTGTATCCCCCTTTTTGATCGCCGTGATATACGTACATTATACGTTGATATGGTTACTGAGTTGGTACACTCCCCTCCATAAGTTTGGCAGCAGGGCGTTTTTTGCCTGTTGAAGTTTGCCGATTCAAAAAACATCTTACGAACCATTACAATTAAGAAGCAAAATAACGGTGAAAGCCCCCCCCCCAAGTTGCCAAACGTATGGAGGGGAGTGTATACATATATGACCAGTAATATACTGTATCTGTATAGTTATAAAACAAAATGCTCGGAGGACATAACAATCCATTTGTATGGCAAACATGATTAATTATTTTATATCTATCATATTAGTCGCCTGTGTTACGAGGGTCACAAATGTCAGGTATATAATAGATTTTCTAAATATGATTAGACAGCAATCGGAATCCCTAGGGCAACGGACAATAATTACGCCATTTCCATACACTGGTTTTGTTTCCTGTATGCGAATAGGCTAACTATAACATATAGGCTGTTGCCTATACAATAGAAACACTTTTAATTAATTGAATTCTGTTGCCAAACATATTTATAGTCGTATTTTCAGACTATTATACTGTATTGTATTATGGTCTCCAACATTTTTGTGGCGGTGGTTAGTTGGTGTTCGGCGTCTGGCGTCTGTTACATGGCGTCTGTAACATCTACAGTAGGCGTCTCATTCTGAAATGCAAATAATCCATACACCTCGTTTTTTCATAACCCTTATTTCCAAGGTTATAGAATGATATTCATAAGAGAATTAAACAAGAATCAAATATTTGTTTCTATCCTCTGGGAATACCTATATCATCAACTAAAATGACAATTAACTTGTCCTGGCCTCCGAGACCGATCATCACGCACTACAGACATATTGATGATCATTTGGAAATAATAAATTACTATACAATTAATCCAACTTAATTAATAGCCAATATCCTCTCTGCATCCCTACATAATTGCAGAACAAAATTGGCTACTTTGACATTCGAGGTTACATCGAGCTAAATCTAAAACCATGACAAGGCTGGTCGTAACCAAAGGATCGACAATATAGAGGCTTTAATAGTTAGCGAGGACTTAGAAACTTTCACCAGTGCTCGTCTAAATATCACTTTCTATAAAGTAGTTGCTAAACAAAGCGTTTGAGCGCAGAACAATGATTGCTAACAGATCACCATAACGTTGAACATGACATTGTTTGCTATCTCCTATCTCTATCCCAGTGAATCAATCTTCGTTATAAGCAGAACACTGGGATTGATCGATCTGTCAGGAACCCCAGGTGTGACATATGCTAGAACAAGATGAACCATGATATTAGTTAGCACTTCCAGTTCAGTGTATGTTAATCGGAACTGTTTTTTTAAATTGATGCAATAGGCAGAATTATTATCCTATATATGCATGAAAAAATATTCATTGATGTTTATGAAGACGAGGTTGCATAGCTCGTAACCGTCTTCGGTCGTTAACACTTGGTGTGATTACACAGGGTTATACCATATGATTATGTAGCACGAAGGTAATTCATAAATCGGGTACCGCCGGCAGAATTACATCTGTGTCGCACATTAGCAGATGTGGCCTTAATTCGCTGTTTCGTGTGTCAGTTCCTCTTTAGAAAATGATAATATCATGTGTCAGTTTATGACAATATGCGTCATTTCATAAAAATAAAATAACATCGTGTCATTTCTTAACTTAATGTGTCATTTAGAATAGCGTGTTGCGTCATATGATTTCCTTTTCAGAATGATAATCTTACTGTATATTTCGTCTTTAAATTAAATTGTAATGTTTTAATACGAGGGTCGATCAATCAAAATCAATAAAAATGCTTTCGTATCTCTATCTCTCTTTTCCTTTAAAAAATAATTTATATACATTGTGTGTCATTTTCTTTTTAATCTCAACTTCCTCGAAATTATGCATTTCAAATGTATAAATTATGTCCATCGAAACCTTACACCTTGATATGATGGAGTCTGCTTTTAAGCTATGTGTTTCAATTTCAATACGTCAACCGTAATTTAATAACGTTCTCATTGAATTGTGTAATTGCCCTGAAGTGTCATGGACGTGTTCAGCGTTGTAATATCGTCATTTCTGTTTCAGATGTTTCCGATGAAATCACTGAAGCGAAGCAAGTATCAGTTTTACTCGACGGAGAGGAATCTATCCTTCTGTTCTATGAACTTAACGATGAAGGGGTAAGTAACACGGCGGCAGGTAACACGGCGGCAAGTAACACGGTGGCAAGTAACACGGTAGCAAGTAACACGGTGGCAAGTAACACGGCGGCGTGTCCCCCGACTTTTCACGTTATACAACATATATTCAGCGAAGGAAATCATATGCAACGAATGAGTATATTGTAGATATATTTCATCTGCATATCACTAATACCATGCAATTTCTGATTGTAATAACTTATAAAACGTATGTATTGTTTTAATCGAATTGATGAAATATAGCATTTCCATTTGCAACTTCGCCATTTTCCTCTTTGTATGTAAGATGCAACGATGCGCATCGAATACAAAACAAAAGCTTATACCAAGAAAAGAAAACATGATCTAAACATCACATATGTTTCAATACGAAGACATACACTATAGACTACTATATAGTACTACAATCTAGTAAGCCTATCGTCGTAATAAAACAATAATGCACCTCTAAAAATCAATTCTACAAATGATAAGTAAGATTGTTCCATCTAAATTTCTCTCTCTCTTTTTGTTGAAATAATTGAATGTTACATTAATTTATATTAAAATGACAAGAGGACCGCCAATTTTCTGTACTCTCTAAACATCACTAGCGCTATTAAAAGATGAACAGACAATTATCGCGATCGTTCCGATATGGTGTCATTACTTTACAATACAATTCATTCTTTACTTAGAGGATATTTTACTGTATAAATCAATAAGAGAATCACTTCATAAGGTTTTATTAAACCTGGCACTTACACTCTTTTTTATTTTGACTCTTGGAGAGATTTCAGAAAATAACAGATTGAGAGAAGGCGTTATTGTATAGGTAAATCATCATGTATATCGAAGCTTAGTTCGTTTATAAAGGACCCACTGTTCTGGGGGTGGGGTGGCGATAGGCTAATGCTTTGGCTGGAGATTTTCTGTTGGGATCGTTTTTTATTGATCGTTTACACCTACAGTGGATTTGCATGTTAACATAACGTAGTTATTAACCATTTCCATAACGTGAAAACCCCACGGGATTAAGCATTAAGGATATTTGGCCGGGGGGGGGGGGGGGTCGAACTCATCGACCCCTTGGCTACGGGCCTGGGCATGTTAAATCAAATACGTACCGTTTGGATCACCTGCCAGTCAGTCTAAGGTCAGTCTTATGGAAGGATTTTGAAGTACACTCGTTAAAGGTGCTTTTTAGACATACGACATTTTAGGATACTGAGATTAAGTGAGATCACAATTATTCAGTTTTTATTATGTCCCCACCACATAGTGTGGGGCCATATTGTCGGCCTAGGCGCGTCCGTCTGTCCGTCCGTCTGTCTGTCCGTCTGTCTGTCCGTCCGTACGTCCGGCAGTTTTCTCCAAAACCGCTACAGATATCACCTTAAAATTTTCAGGGATAACTTATGAGTGCATACAGATGTGGATGAAAAAAAATTAACTCAATACCTACTTCCTGTCGGCCATTTTGAAGTCAAATGCTAAAATCCTTGTCTGCAAACTTTAAGAAAAATGGCTTCACAGTTGCTTTTAAAACTTTAACATCTTGTTCAGCTCACTTCATTCTAGATCTGATTAGGTTTTGGACCTGTTAGCTCAGTCATGTCAGCCATTTTGAATGTTTTAAGAAAAGTTAGCGCACGATAATAGTTTGTATCATATTGAATGGTGTTTTTCAGTTTTCATACTTTAACTTTTTAGTAGCTTTATAAATAATTTCAGGTGTACTTTGTTGTAAAAGCTTATGTTATTGTTAACAGTAGTTATATGTGATAATTTTGTAAAAAGATTTCAGCAAAAACTCATAATCACTTTTTTATTGTCGGCCATTTTGGATTTTTCCGTCTTAAAATCTTGTCTGTAAAGTCTTGTCTACGCATTTTCAGGCGAACCGTTTGGTAGATCAATTTCAAATTTTCAGGGATGATTCTTAGTATAAGAATCTAGATCTGATTAGTTTTTGGGCATTCTGGGTAAATGTCAAGGCAGCCATTTTGGATTTTCCGTCCTAAAATCTTGTCTGTAAAGTCTTGTCCACGCATTTTCAGGTGAACTGTTTGGTAGATCAATTTGAAATTTTCAGGGATGATTCTTAGTATGAAAATCTAGAACTGATTAGTTTTTGGGCATTCTGGGTAAATGTCAAGGCAGCCATTTTGGATTTTCTGTCCTAAAATCTCGTCTGTAAAGTCTTGTCTACACATTTCCAGGTGAACTGTTTGGTAGATCAATTTCAAATTTTCAGGGATGATTCTTAGTATGAAAATCTAGAACAGATTAGTTTTTGGCATTCTGGATAAATGTCAAGGCAGCCATTTTGGATTTTCTGTCCTCAAATCTTGTCTGTAAAGTCTTGTTTACATGTTTTCTGGTTAACTGTGTGACGGATCAATTTCAAATTTTCAGGGGTGGTTCTTAGTATGAAAATCTAGAACTGACTAATTTTTGGGCATTCTTGGTAAATTTTAAGGTGGCCATTTTGGATTCTCCGTCCTCAAATTGTGTCGGTAAAGTCTTGTCTACTCATTTCTAGGATAACCATTTGACAGGATCACCTATAGGTGGGGACATATTGTACACATTTGTGTTCTTGTATCAAATCCTTGTGTTTCTCCGTAATGTACACACCTATAGATTCGTAAGTAGGTTTGGAAAGTGGCGTAGTCAGAGCTGTCAAGTGTCCCGCGAATGGCGGGATTATCCCGCGAATTTGACCAAAATTTGGCTTATTCGCGTGTCCCGCAATGTCCCGCGAATTCCCGCAAATGACGGCTTTGACCTCCGCGAATTTTCAAAATTGTAACAATCCCCGAGGCTAAATAATTGTGATTATATTGTGATATAAGAAGCTAAGCTTTTTGCACTTTTGAGGAGTCAAGTTTACCTAATTTGAAAAGTGCTGCCGAACTCCCAGTGCATCAGATCATCGAAGACTGCTTTTGGAAGGAGCATATAGTACACTTATAAAACTATGATTTTGATCCAAATAACACCATAGTTGGCTTCTAGCATGCCGTTTGGTATCAAAATAAAGAGGAAGAGTGCAAATTTCATTTTAATTACGGAAAAAGGGATGTATGTCACGATTAGTTCCAACGTTGGCCTTTTTACTACGCGTGTCACGGCCTTCATCTCAGAACTGAACAAATGTTAGCAAACGCGAGTTCCAATAAATGGACACTGATATCTCGAAAAGAAACCTGACTCCCCATAATTTGATGTAGAATAATCGAACCCCTATACGAATAGGTACATTTTGATATAACACTATGGGGGTAAATGTTTCATGTTGGTCACGAACGCCATAAGTGCAAAGTATTCACAAGAATTTTTGAATTTCGTGTCGGATTACGGTACTCACACCTAAAGCGTGGTTTTTGATAGTTTAATAATAGTTCTACTGTATGCGTAAGCCTATTGTGTGGAATTGTGTGGAATTGTGTTGACGTTTACTAAGTTAAGTGCATTATATTTGATAAATCAGTATCTGAAAGTTTGATTCAAGAGTACTTTTACATTAAAAATCCCTTGAATGTCCTGCGACATCCCGCAAAAGGTGGATGTCCCGCAAAATCCCGCGAATTTAAGGCACTTTGTCTAGAAAAATTATCCCTCTCTGAAGTCTTTGGTGGTTACCCTGTTAATTGTCCCGCAAGTAGCGTGTTTGTCCCTCGAATGGTCCCGCGAAATCCCGCGAATTTGATCAAAATTTGACCTTTTAGCGCAATCACGCAAATCCCTTAAATGTCCCGCGAAATCCCGCGAATTTAGGTGGATGTCCCGCAAAATCCCGCGAATTTTTGGAACTGGGTCTAAAAAATCTGTCCCGCGAGAAAATCTTTGGGGGTTGACAGTACTGCGTAGTGCATGGAGAAGAGGCGGTACTATGGTACTGGTATATTGAAAACGCAAAAATGACGTGGTATTTGACTGTTTTGACAAGATTGTCAGGATTAAATATTTTTATCTTCTTGTCTTTTCATCGTAAAATCAATGGAAATCAATCCAAAACCCAACAGCTATGATTTAATTAGATACTATGTTCTATTTGACGATGGTTGTTTCAAATTACAACATCCACATTCCGAGAAGGAAATGTTTCTTTACCAAACAAATAATGTTATGATAGGAGATCCAATGTTATTAAACGTCGGTGATAATTGCATATTGCTACCGATAGTTTAATACCAAGAGATAACATTATTGTAGAAAACTGATATCGGAAGAAATATCAATTAATAATAATTATAGATGCAGACCAGTAAAGCAACCTATCAAGGCGCGCCCTTGCATTCAGAATTACACGTTTACTTTTGGTTACTTGCGCATTCCGACTCACAGCTGTCTCCCTGATCAACGAATACGATGCCTTTAGTATGAATGATGGTCCGATGGTTAAGCTGTTTTGAACTGGAATTATGATTCCTGAATGGGGAGGGAGGGGGCGGGGGTGAAATTATTTTTGTGCGTTTAATCATAGTTGGTGATATTTTGGGTTTGCGTTTCCTTGACTTTGTATTGTGCTATTTTTCTTGCTGTTTTTGTTTTCCAATTAAATGATTGACTTTCTCCTTTTCCTAATTTTTGTGACAGCACACGACGCATGTGACATTTGAAAAAATGATTCTATATAATGTATGTGGTATTTTTCAGGTACCGCAAGAGAGCGATGCTGATGGCTACGTCGTTGTATACTCCATTACCGACCGACTGTCCTTCTACAACGCTATTGATATAATCCACAAACTGAGGGACGACGAACAAAGAGACTCCGCTATGATCGTCGTTGGCAATAAAAGTGATATTGTCCGTCAACGTCAAGTGCCTATAGATGGTAAATGTATTATTATTAATAATATATGTTTGTTTCCATGTTTGTTTGTTATATTAATTATTTGTTTACTATAAGAATAAATCATTAATCTCGACCTGCAAAGTAGTTTACAATATTGATTGCTAAAATATAGCATTTTGAAATGATAAACATCGCTCTATTGTATGCAAATCTACAGTTGTTTTAGTACAGGTGAACCTGAGTAGGTGGAACGCCCTTTGGAACACAAAAAGTGTTCCACTTTGGAGGTGTTCCACTAACAGAGGTTCATCAACATGGAGTCAATGGGCTGCAGTACTTAAACAACCGTTCAACTTTTTAGGTGTTCCACTAACAGAGGTGTTCCACTTAGTAGTTTCTACTGTATATTCAAATGTAGTATACCTTGAAGCCAAGTTGCTCATTATAGATACTTTCGTAGAATAAACGAGATCAAATTAAACAGGGTAATAGGAGTAGAAATTACTATTTCATGATCTTTTATCAAACACTTTGATACGAACTTGAGATCATCATTGTATAATTCAGGGTATCATACGATCATAATGCTCAGGGTATACGAGTTGCAAGAAATTAATGTTTGTTCTCTTGTGAATGCGATTTCTCCATTCACTATCCAACCATCCTCACATTATCAATATTTCATAAATCGTATTTTATATCTTTTTTTCCAGAAGGGAAATCGATAGCAAAGACGTATAAAAGTAAATTCATCGAGACGTCAACGTACTTAAATCACCACGTAGACGTATTACTAGTCGGTGTCTTATCTCAAATACGTAAACACAGTATCAAGATTAAAAAGGCGATGGAGGCTCACAACAACCCAAAACACAGTTTGAAATCTGCGGGACCTGCTAAACCTAAAAAAGCCAGCGTTTTAAGAAAACTATTTGGCAAAAGTAGGATGTTTAAATCTGTTGACAATGTGCTTAAGTGATGTTAACAAATTATATTATTATTTTATCATTATTTGTATGCGTTATCCAAGAATTTCCAAAACTGCCGACACGCCATAGACGAAAATAACGCATCTAAGTTACATACCTTTCTAATCTTCAACCAGGAAAGGCTACTGAGAGTAAACGTGCAAATTCACTCTAATTTGAGGTCTTCAGAGAACCATTTTGATCTTCAAATCTTTCCAGAGAAGGATTTATATAGAGGAAGGATGTAATTTTAATTAAAACATCCATCAATGACGCTTATAAAAAGAATCATTTGTTGTGGATGTGGACATTTTAATATGGTTGCGTGTAAACCTGTTTTATATTTTTTCGTATTTTTGCATACTGTGTATGTGCTTTAATTTTCATTTTGAAGCGTTTTTTGAAGTGATGGATGGGTTTTCATTGTGAATGTTTATATTTCACTATGGAGTGATAATTTTAAATGTTCATTCACATTTTTAATGAGAAGATTTAAAGGGAATTTTCGCAACACCAACTCCTCCAATGGACTGTCATCAAACCTTTGAAGGGGGAGTGTAACAACGGATTTTGGTGAAATTTTGATTGTCTAAACAAATTATGTACATTGTGTTGAATATATATACAAAATCAAACTTGTAATGCATGTTGAACATGAATACATTACTTATGTACAACTTCACTTAGTCATTGATGTTTTTGATGACATCTAATAAAAACGTTTTGAACTATTTTATCAGGACTGTTCTTGTTGATATAATACTGTGACATCTATTAAAAAACGATCATCTTTTTAAAACTATGCATTTTCAACTTCACAAAAAGATGGCACAAGGCTCTTGGTTTGTAACACCCCAGTCACATTTGTCGTACAGCGGCCGTGCGTCGACCGAAGATCAATTAAGTCAGTAAATTTCTGCGGCGAGCTTAGAAAAACTACGCCTATCCATTTTTTACAGGCCGCAGGGTAGCCGTAGAAATCATAACTCAGAGTTTTAATATTTGTTCATTTCTGCGGTCTCCGTAGAAATCAACAGGCCGTTGCCAGACCGCAGAAAGGTCAAACGGTGGCCGCACGTCGAGTTCCGTTGACTTGCTTCTACTGTAGGGTTTGATGGGTAATGTAGGTTTGGAAACAGTTTTTAAGTCAGTTTTCGGTCATATTTTTGCCGTAAACACAACACAATACGTATACTGTTTGATATAAGGTCACTGATACCACAGCAACTTATATTCCACTTGCACTTTTTATTTGATACTATATCCTAACACTACAAACAACATTTATAAATTTTAGTGATGTAGATAAAAAATAATTTACTTTAATCAACATAAATTCATAATTCGCCGTGCGGCTGCCGTAGAAAATGTGACTACAAAAGTATAAGGGCGTAGAAATTCTACGGTGATCGTAGAAATGTTACTGACCGCAGAAATGATAGACCGCAATGTCGCCACGTGCGGGAAATGTGACTGGGGTGTAAGTTTGTATTGATTACACCTACCATTTGAAAGATGTCATCAAAACTATAAAATCAAATATTCTCAGATGTTAAAACAACTTTGTGGGGTTCAGTTCAATTCAATGTAATCTATTCAAAGGGGCATCAAGGACTGTAGGGGAACTTTTTGACTTCCCTGAGCTATTTTCATAAAATGCATGATATGTATATGATTATCCAATTTTATGTCAAAGCAGTCAATTTTGTTCCATGAATTTAGATTTGTCTACATTAAGTATTAATCTATTCAATATCATTCAGTTATGAACCTTCTTCAAATCCTCTTTTGTTTCTTTTTTTCCAAATTATTAATTTTATCATTTGTCAATAGAATATTCTTATCGTCTGCATAGAGAATAAATTTTGGTTTATCCGATGTTAAAATAAATATCTTTTTTAAAGATAATGAATAGGAGGGGACCCAAAACAGAACTTTGAATTTGGATTGCAATTATGGATTCTGAATTACGAGGGAGAGGATGTTGCTAGTTTAGGATATGCGGGTTTGATTATTTTTTTGTGATATTCTTAACTCTCTTTGATCTTAAGCTTTCCCATTTGGCACATGTACTTAAATATTTAAACAATGTTTAATTACCAGATTTAATTAATGAGTACATGTACAATTGTACTGGAAATATTTCACTAATTTTAAATTCTATTTAATCATGTTTTGTTATGACATCTTAGATATTGTTCAAATAGATCATTATAACTTGTTTCGTAATATTTTAGATCAATAATTCATATAACAGTCTATAATGCACTTACAATATTCATAAATTCTCAAGGTGACATGATAAAAACGTATCTTAATTGTTTAGTTTCGTTTTGATGATAGCCACTTCAAACAACAGATAAACTCCCGTAAATGCCCCATTGTTAAAACGTACCAAAAAGGTGATTATTCGACAAAACTCACGCACAATCAGTAAAATGTTTAGACCAAGTGCTTCATCTTTTATAGTTTATCTACTTTGTTCGATGTCAATAGTATTATTAATTAATTAGAATTTATTAATTATGATTAATTTTAAATCATGCTGTCTCCTGATTTTATATTACCACTGTAAAAATAATTCTGTTTTCAAGACAAATATGGGAAGCATTCCTATCTTGCCTGACGTCAGACATAGATAATGCTGATACAATCATAGATCAAGTGTACAATTATTTCAAAAAAACGTTTAAAATAAATTGAAATAAAATGCAACATGCAATATCCCACGTTGACAGCGTTATCATAAATCCATTCTTTTTTGTTTGTGTAAACAGCATGACTATCTTGATAACCAGTTTCAAGCGCATGAAGTATAGATGAAATAGTTTTATTTAGATGAACGTGTATGCTTTTTATAGTCTTACTTCAAAATGTGGACCCGGTGTAACAGGAGTATAAGTCCCCTTGGGAAATAAGTCCGTAGGACTTGGATTCCTAGGAACGTAGGTCCTACGGACCTACGTCTCTAGGACCGGAGGTCCTACGGACCTCCGTTCCTAGTATACGTTGTCCTAGTCGGACATATATTCCAGGCTATAATAAATATGAAAAATTACTACGGACGTATTTTCCTGACGGACTTGGATTCCTGCTACAGCAGTGATAGGAATTCAGGTCCATGAAACTCTATATTGATCATGTAATTAGTCTGTACATAAATATACAAAGAAAAACGTATTTGACCAACCATCCATGATAGCTCACTAAGTAGAGCGTTTGGTAGTAATAGATATTTATAATTTAGCCAGAAGTAGAACCCTTGTTCGACTCCCCTTGGCTCCCTATTTAATTTTTATGTTTTTTTTCATTTAATTTTATTTTGGGAAGGTCGGACTTATTCTAAGCTTTGACATTCACGCAATAACATTGACAACATACGGTGACAAAATATACCGTCGTGCACGTTGGATGTACGGTGTCACTATCAACTGATTTGAAGCAAAACCTATCATGTAGATTTGATGTACATGTCCGTTTTAAAAATCTGAGGAAAACCAAATGATTTATTTCTAATTTCGTGCGTATTCGCTTCAAAAGATTTTTAGCTTTCTGATTACGTTGAGAGATATTCGACCAGTGCTTATTTTTTTCGTAGTAAATCTACAACACAAAATTTTTCGGCTAGAAAATGTTTGTTTTTTCACATTTCCTTCGATAATTTTTTCCCGTGTCGCCTGAAAGTGTCGATTATTTTTATGAGAATATGTTTCTCTCAACTAATGTAATTTTTGACCTCTTGCTATTTTATTTAATGAAATTGTTGGTTCTTAGATTCAACATCGTGATCATTTGGCGTTTGTACGTTTACGTTCCGTTAAGATTATAATTTTATGAATTTCAATAATCTTAAGAAGTTGATAGAGAGATCGCAATACTAGGTACAGCTAGTCGAAGATGACTTTTAAAATCCCGTTCATGCGTTTGTATATCTGGAAAGTGCATAGGTTCAATAGTGCAACAAGTTGAAGTAATTGTTCAGCTTCAGTTCTAAATGCATCTGACCCCTGTCGATTAGTGTTATAAAAAATACGTTGTCTGCAATAGGTTTAACTGTGAATTGAGATGTGTAATTTCAATGGGACAACGTACACTGAATTGACAACGTACACTTGTGATTTTTTCAATTGTAGCCAAAAACGTAAATACTTGTTAAATCTTCAACCGACCTAAATTGTGCAAGTTCGAGAAACATATTCTCATAAAAACAATCGACACTCTTAGGCGTCACACAATTATCAAAGGAAATGTGAAAAACATCATCTTCCAACCGATAAATTTTGTGGGTAGATTTACTACGAAAAGAAGAATCTTTTAACGGAATCAGAAAGCTAAAAGTCTTTCGAAGCGAATACACACCAAATTAAACATAAAATCCTTTATATATGATTCAGATTAGATTTTTAAGACGTACATCAATCCTACATCATAGTTTTTGTTTCAAATCACTTAATAGTGACACAGTTCATCTGAAGTGTACGGCGATATATTTGTCACTGTACGCTGTCTATGGTTAGGCGTGAACAATAAACCAACCCATATTTGATTTGGTAAGTGTCGTGAGTAATTAGAGGAATTCAGAGATATTTTCAGACATTTTATACATGGAGATAACCAATTCAAATTGTATTGTCATATTTTGCCCGTGAAAAAAAAATGACATGCAATATTTATGTGTTGGATGTTTTATTGTTGATTTTATAAAAACTTGAATTGAAAGGTTGACATACTAAGGTAAAAAAGTTTACATGGACTTAAATTTCTGACAGGCATCCAGGAATACAAATCCGCCTCGGACGACTCATCCTAGGCATAGGACATACAGTCCTAAGGAAAATATGTCCGATGGACTTATTTTCCTAGGTATGCAAGTCCCTGGACTTATTTTCCTAGCACTTAGTGTCCGACGGACCTGCATTCCTAGGAAAATAAGTCCATCGGACATAATTTAGCATGGACATGTGAAACTGTCACACCGGCCGTTTATCAATACTTCCCATTTCGCGACCCTTTTAAAAAA